GCCGCCCCCAGCATCCCTCCGGTGGAGCATCCCCCCGGCTGAGCATCCCCCCGGCCGAGCATCCCTCTGCCAGAGCATCCCCCGGCCAAGCATCCCCCCCGCCAAGCATCCCTCGGGCTGAGACCCGAGAATCCCTCCGGCTGAGCACCCGGCACTGGCTGATGGATAATTCCCTTAACGAACCTGCCGATACCCCAAATTCCACCCCGTGCCAGCGATGTCTAATGAAGCCGGGCCTGCAGCGGATCAGCGGGGCGGCTGCCCATCGCTATTGTCGCCTGACAAAGAGAAGCGCCCGGCCCCGCTCCCCGAGAGCGCTATTAGCCCAAATATTTGCTTCCCGTCTCCAGGGTGACGGGGTTGCCAGCGCTCACCCACATCCCTCCTTTGATCATTTTCCTCTTGATCTTCAGCGCGCCAGTTCCCTGCGCTCCTCTCCATCTCCCTCGCCTCGCGGGGATGTGGGAGCTGGTGGCAGCCGCAGCATCCGGGCGCGGGGATGCTGCGGTGGGGATGAAGGCAGGGCTGGGGGTGATGGAGATCCTCCCTGGGGAGGGCCGGTGGGGAGCACAGGGAATACCTGCGTCCTCTGGCAAAGGGACTGGGGGCAATCAGCTTCCCTTTGCTGCACCTCCCATTTTTCCCCTTTTGGCCCATTTTTACCCTGCCTCGCCTATGGAGGCTGCAAAAGAGGAGATGGGGCCGTGATCCTGCCCTCTCCGGGACAGATCAGCTGGTTGCAGACTCAAGCACCTGATGCAAACCCCATGGCCACAACCACCATCTCCCCACGACCACCACCACCATCTCCCCATGACCACCACCACCATCTCCCCATGACCACCACCACCATCTCCCCACGAGCGCCATCTCCCCACGACCACCACCACCATCTCCCCATGCCCACCACCACCATCTCCCCACGACCACCACCACCATCTCCCCACGAGCGCCATCTCCCCACGACCACCACCACCATCTCCCCGCGGACAGGCAGGGCAGTTCAACGACCACAGACGGCAGGACCAGACACTTATCGGTGGGACCACACTCCCTCCACCATGCCGGGACACCAATACCCAGCTCGGCATCGTGGCAGAAGCTCCGGGGAGGATTGATCCAGCTTCTCCCGCTCCTTCCCCCCCCTCCTACGCACCCTTCCTGGAACAGGTTTTTCCCAGCCCAGGGAGCCAAGCGGAGCCGCCGGCAGCCCGGGCTTGTTTCCATCCCTCCCAAAACTCACCCGGGTCCAACACTGGCTCTCGGGGGGTGGGGGTAGGGATGGAGCCAGGAAATTTCCCCCAGAAAAAGAGGAATTTCAGAGCCAGACGGGATCAGCTCCAAAATCTCCGGGGACCTGGCGGTGGCAGGGGAGGGACCGACAGCGCTGAGCGATTTCTAAGCAGTGTTTTTAAAAAAACAAAGCGAAATCTTCGCCAGAAAATGTTATTTCGATCGCTTCGGCAACCACAAGTCGTTTTGAAGCAGTGCTTTGTGTTCGGAAGTGGACCCAAATACAGAGGAGACGGGGAAAGAAAAAAGCCTGGCCCCGGTCCCCCCGCTTCCCAGCCCCTCGTGCAGGATCCGGCCGGGTGGGATGGGCAGTGGCCTGAGGGTGGGGAGAGCCGCTGGGGTCCCATGTGGGGCTGAGACGGGTGCTGCGGGGTGGGAGCAAAGCCGCCTGGAAATCCCACGGGAGCTGAGATGGAGCCGCAGCGGGAGGGGTGGTGTCGGGGTTTGGCAGCCGGTGGGGCTGGATCCGCACCCCCACGTTATCCCCCCCCACTGCGGGACCGCGGTGGGTGCTCAGGGGGTGCCACCATTCCTGGTGACAAGCCGTCCCCAGTGTCCCCATCCCTGGGCAGCTGGTCTGGGGAGCCATGGCCCCATGGCCTTTCCCTTGCAGACCCGAACCCAAACCCCTTCGCTTTGCAACGCCCTGGCCCCGCACCACAAATCCCCCGGGGAAAAGGGCAGGATCCGGCCTCCCTTCCTGAGAAACCTCAGTGGTGGCCCGGCTGTGGGCTCTGGAGAGGGGCTGCGAGGGTGGTGGTGGGGGTTGCCTGGAGCATCCCCTGCCCGGGAGCAGCACGGGACCAGGAGGGACCAGGAGGGATGTCGTCATGGGGCCAGGAGGGACATGGTTGCAGGACCAGGAGGGATGTTGCTGCACAGAGCCAGGAGGGGTCAGGAGAGACCAGGAGGGACACCACTGTGGGACCAGGAGGGACCAGGAGGGATATTATTGCATGGGACCAGGAGGGACCAGAGGGGACTAGGAGGGACCATCATCGGCAGGCCAGGAGGACCAGGGCTGCATCATTGCTCAGGAGAGACATTGTCACGTGGGACCAGGAGGGACGTCGCTGGAGAACCAGGAGGGACATCATCACAGGGCCAGGAGGGACCAAGAGGGACGTGGTTGCAGGACCAGGAGGGATGTTGTTGTATGGGACAGGAGGGACCAGGAGGGACCGTCGTCAGGGGGCTGGAAGGACCAGGGGGGCATCATTGCTCAGGACCAAGAGGGACATCACTGGAGAACCAGGAGGGACGTCATCGCAGGGCCAGGAGGGACCAGGAGAAGCTGGAGGGCCCATTAGGGACAAGGCTTCAGGACCAGATGGGATGCTGTCGCATGGGGCCCGGAGAGACATCATCAGAGCACCAGAAGACACCAGGAGGGCCATTGCCAGAGAACTGGGTGAGACCAGGAGAGACACTGTCACCAGGCGGGAGCACCCGAGGACACCGCAGCCATGGGGAAGCGGCGGCGCAGGTGATGGGAACGGCCGTGGCCGGGCGGCCGGGAGAGACGTGCTCGCCCGCACTTTGCTGCGTGACGATGATTAAGTTGCTTCCCTTCGTTATGGTCCCTCAGGGAGGTGTTAAACAGCTGCTAATAAAGACGGATGTTTCTGAAGTGGCATCTCCGGAGCCTTTACATCCATTGAATTTCAGGAAAAGCCACCGAGGTGCCCAGAGCCACCGGCCAGAGCAGCAGCATCGTTGTGCCGACAGCACTGCGCCGACGGTTGTGCCTTTGGGGCAAGACCTCCATTGCAGGGGCAGCGGGGGGGATGCTGGGGAAGGTTTTTGGGGGGCTCGGATGATGCCGAGGGCTGGCCATGAGCCCGGAGATGCCCTGGGGAGGAGAAGGGGGACCCGAAGGGCTGCGGGGTGGGAAAAGCAACGGGAAGAGAAGGAGAAACCCGGCAGCAACTGCCCATTAAAATTCATGAAACCTGTTCAAAAGCAGAAAGCAGCGCGAGCTCCTGGCTGCTGCTGACAAAGCCGGCAAAGGAGGTGTTGGTGACAGCTCCGTACATCTGCAAATTTGGGGGTTAAATCCCCATTCTCAAGCCGGGCTCCGTCTGGGTGACACGGGTAACGAAGGAGGCTTCGTTAGTGCCCACCCGCTGCCAGGCCGAGGTGATGGATGGAGGGACCAAACCTCCACCTCCAGGCACATCCCCGGACCACGGTCGCCCCTTCCCCTCGCAGGGGACCCCCGACCCCCCTCCGCTCCCTGGATGGCGATTTACATCTTAGAGCTCATTTATTTTCCCTTTTCCCATATATTTTTAGCCCCCCCCCACGCACACAACCCCCCTCCCAGCTGCCTGCGAACAGGTTTAACAAGCCACAGCGCATTTCCCTCACCATAATTAGCAACGTTTCTGCAGGCAAATGGCAGTCGGGAGTGGAAGTGGCATTTCCTTAATTAAAACAATTAATTAGGGTGGGTGAGAGGGTCGGGAGTGGGTGGCATTTCCTTAATTAAAACAATTAATTAGGGTGGGTGAGAGGGAAGATAAAACATCTTCCCTATAGAAATGGCTCTTGGAGTAGCCGGTCCCCCACGGTGATGCCAGGGCTGCGGCTTCCCCTGGGTGACGATGTCACACGTGTCCCTTTGGGTGCCCACCCTAGGGTGCTGCCCCGACCGCTGAGCGCCCCAGGGTGCCCCTTGGACCCTGATCTCAGCTCCTTGACCTGCAAGGACCAGCTGCTTGTCTCAAAATGTCACCGGCCCCATGCTGGCTGGGCCCCAGCCGGAGCATCCCGGCGATGCCGGCAGCGTGCCGGCCCCAGTTCCTCACCGGGGTATAAATATCCGTGTGTTACTTAGCGACTAATTGCACGGAGCGCAACAGCGGGGGGTGCCAGCCCCTAATGAGGATCTGGAATCGCAAGCTGCTAATTACCCCTGTGCTGAGCTGCTGCTTCGTTATTGCTGGGGTCTGACCGTCCAGCCCGGCCGCGCGGATCCCACCTGCATCCCTTAACGACATCCCCTGGCACTGCCGGCCCGAGACCCCTGTCCACGGGTTTAGGGGGTGGATGGAGGCCAAATCCAAGGGTCTTCCCATACGGATGCCCTCTCGGAGGGCAGTCGCCTTCCGGCACCCGCATCCCAGGATGCTCCTGGCTCCGCCGTGGACCTGGTTGCATCCCTTTGGGTGAACGGCCACAGCCAGGCTGGTGTTTAAGGACCAAAGGGTGCCTGTTTGGCAGCTCCCAGGGACGGGCTCCACCCCCACGTGGCCTTGGCCTTGGTGAGTGCAGCGGAGGCGGCTCCACGGCCGGGGAGGTGTGGGGCAGTGTGTTGGCACCCCAGGAGCTTGTCCGTGTGTCTGGCTGCGGGACCCACGGCCAGGGAGGCTGCGCTGCTCTCGCTGCTGCTCACCGTGGGGTGCTGGGGAGCACGTGGGGTGTGGGTGCGGGGCGGGGGGTGGTGAGAGTGCGTGGGTGTGAGGGTGCATGGGTGCGTGTATGCATGAGTACGTGCATGCAGAGGTGGGTGGGTGCACGGGTACGTGCGTGCACGGGTGCGTGCAAAGGTGAGTGCATGCATGGGTGCCTGCAGAGGTGGGTGTGTGCATGCATGGGCGCGTGCAAAGATGGGTGCTTGCAGAGGTGGGTGTATGCACGGGTGTGTGCATGCATGGGCGCATGCAAAGATGGGTGCGTGCAGAGGTGGGTGGGTGCACGGGTACATGGGCGTGCGGGTGCGTGCGAAGGTGAGTGCATGCATGGGTGCCTGCAGAGGTGGGTGGGTGCATGGGTGCGTGCATGCACGGGTGTGCAGGGGTGTCTGCGTGCACACGGGCGTGTGCACATGCAAACCCAATGGGGGGGTGTTTTAAATCAAGGCTCTTCCACGTGCTGGAGGAGCAGCCCCAGCCAGGCCGAGGGAACCCCTCACGACACCAACCCTTCCCCGGCGGCGCTTTTCCCTCTTGCTGAACTCATCCAGGTGCATGGGTGCGTGCATGCACGGGTGTGCAGGGGTGTCTGCGTGCACACGGGCGTGTGCACATGCAAACCCAATGGGGGGGTGTTTTAAATCAAGGCTCTTCCACGTGCTGGAGGAGCAGCCCCAGCCAGGCCGAGGGAACCCCTCACGACACCAACCCTTCCCCGGCGGCGCTTTTCCCTCTTGCTGAACTCATCCATCCCCTGTTTTGAACCGGGGCCTTTTACTTAATCCCAGAAGCGCCAACACTCATTGATTGCCGCTGGCTCCCCAAAGGACGAGGCTCCGGCGCTCCCCGGCACAGGCAGCCCCGCTCACGGCACCGGATTAACCTCCGGCTGAACCGTGTTCCCAGCACCGGGGACACCTTTCCCTGGAGCAAGATGTGCAGAATTCAGGGTGCCAAGCCCCGGGTGCACCCCAAACCCAGAAGCATCCCTCTGGGCTCAGCATCTCCCGGGGGGGGGACTTTTATTTCTAGGCTCTGGGCACGGCGTGGATGGTGGAAAACAGGTCCCGGGTAAATATCTCCCGGCGGGTGCGTGGGGGGATGCTGCCTTCACAGGATTTACAGCTTCAAAGCCTCGGCCTCAAAGCCTGCAAATATCTTTTCATCATTTCAGCCATGGTCTAATTCCCCGGCTGGCCGCCGGCGCTGGCCGGCTCTCCCAGGTACAGTCTCCCCTTAATAGCTGGGATTTATTATTTAAATGTCTTTTTTAAGCTCCTGTTTCCTGTTCGGGCTCCGAGGATGCCCGTGGGGTGCGTGGGGTCTGCACCCCAAAACCTGGGCACCCCGAGCCGCTGGCGCTCAGCGTTCACGCTCTCAGTTATTAATTAAAGGCAAGGTATCATTCCCTGCTTCATCTTGGGCGTAATTAGATCGCGGGGATGCCGGGAAGTGGCACTGGTTAACGCTCGCCGGAGGGGGATGAAGGGAACCGGAGTCATCCCAGCCCAGCCGGCACATCCCGGCGCTGCCCGTCCTCCCGCAGATGCTCCCCGGCCCCCTGCAAAATTCGGGGGGTTTCTGCTCCACCAAGGGACCGGCTCATGCCGGGGGGCCGGTGATCGGGGGTACCGGCTGGCATGCCTTAGCACAGAGCCTCCGTGCCGGTGATTTACAGCCGGCACCAACCCTGCCAGCCCCGGGGCCGCATGCCGTGATGGATGCAGGGAGCAGCCCCAGCCACCGGTGCCCGTTAATTATTCGCTTTGGATTGATGAGAAATTGCAACTCCCGCTAACGATGGCAGCCGGCTCACCTCGATTTAGCGGCAGCCAAGGGAGACGGCGGCGATGCCGGGGTCAGTGCCGGCTGTGCCATTTCCCCAGCTTTTCGGAGGGGCTGCCTTTCCCCGCAGCCGGCTCAGCCGGGAGGATAATTTATGGTTTCGTATCAGCGCTGCTGATCTTGGAGCTTTTCCAGCCTCCTCCTCCCTCTCCCCGCACCGCTTTTCCTCGAAAGCCGACTTCCCAGGATGGGATCCAGCTCCTCGCCGGGCCGTCGTGGTCCCCAGCATCCCTGGCCGTGCCGCCTCTTGGGGACCTGGATCCCGCTTGAGATGAACTCACGCGTGTGCTGAGCTGTGACAGGGCTCAGCAGGTCTCTGGCACTGGCTGAGCCAGTTCCTGATCCCGTTTAAGGATGCTCCGGTGCTCCAGCCACGTGGACAGTGCAGGATAGCACCATCCCCGCGGCGTGGGAGCCCTCTCCCAGCCCCCCGGACCCCACCGGGGACATGCACCCACCTGGGAGCCCCGTGGGAGCGTTGGCACCCCAGCACCCATTTGCAGAGCGTGATTTTAAGGTGCCAAATTGCCTTTTAGTGATCAAATTGCTCTGTGCAATGGGGTGTGGGGTCTGGCAGGGGATCTGGCAGGGGAAGGCCAGCAACAGGCGGTGGTGTACCTGCAGCCAGGGAAACGGCCCCGGTGTCACCAGAAGGCTCCAGTTTTGGGGAGATTTTGGTGGATTTTGGTGTTTTCTCGGTGGTTGTCTCCTCAGGGAGCTCTTTGCAGCTGGAGGAAAGGAGAGGCAGAGACAGGAGCAGGCGGCTAAAACAGGCAGAGCCCTGGGGACGCAGCGCTGCGGAGGCCGTGGTCATGGGCACCAGGGGGGTGACGCTGCCGGAGAGCCCCCCGTGCCCGCCACGGCACTGGCAGGGTTAAGGCGAGCGGCTGCAGGCAGAGCCCTGCCAGGGGGATTAGCCATGTCCCTCTGGTGCAGGCAATTCCCTGCCTTGTCCATCGATCCCTGCGAGGTGTTAAGAGAGGCTGGAGCATCGATCGGAGCAGAGCCCTGGGCGGCAGTGAGGCCAAAGGCTTCCCCAGGCAGGGGGATGCAGGATCCGGCCTCGGGGGCTGGAAGCCAAAGCGGGGAGCGTTCCCAGCGCCACGCACCCGCAGAGGTGCTGGACTCCCCCCCCCCCCCCCCGTCCCGGGCGCTCGCGGTGACAGACGGGGACGTTAAACAAGCAACGGGCTGATGCAACCGGCCCCGCTGCTCCCTGCTCC